CAGCCTGAAAGTGTGACTCTCTTCTAGAGGTAAATTGGACTAGCTCCAGGAGATAAAATCAGCAATTTATGCAACACCACCATGACATAATATCCAAGCCCAAATTTGGGAGTGGTGATGAGTTTGGGTAGGAGTGGCCCATGATGGCAACTCACCCAGTATATAACCCGTAAACTAGTCCCAATTTGGAGGTAACCTCACTTGCAGAACAACAAAGGAAGAATTGCAAGGGTAGGCTGGATCAGACTGATCACCTGAACCACCCTCTCCATGAATGTGAATCTTTTGTTCAGGCTGAAGCTGCGGAGCGCCCGAGTGGAACCGGAGAAAGGGGACTCGTTCCTACCACTACTGAGGCCAGCCCATTAAACCTCAATTAAAGAATGAACAGATATCTGGGTATTTGGCTTCTCGGAATCCTAGGACTGTAAGTATAATGTAGCAAATAAGAGTTACATCTTTTCTAGTTCCAATTTAACCTTTAGTTGTAATTTTAATTGTTCTTGGAGTGCTGTTCTTAGTATATGTAGTTATAGTGTTTTTTGGAGTGCTGTTCTTAGTATATGTAGTTATAGTGTTTTGATGTTTGTATTGTTCTTAAAACAAAGCAATGTTGTATACACAGTATTTTTCAGATAAAATTGTGTTTTACGAATTCAGGGTGTAATCATTGTGAAATCATGCAATTACCCAAATACTCCCCAGCCAGGCGCATCAAACGAAACAGTAAATAATGCGGGATCTTTCTCCAGTGCATAACCCACTAGAGAACTGGCCGCTCCAGGTCATAAACACTGCGCTCCAGAGGGCCCAGGAGAGGGCAGCAGGGCCAGGAGCTGAGTGCGCAACCCAGAGTGGCAACACACACAGGGCTGCTACCTGCTGCTGCAAGCTCCGTGCTGCCCAGGTCACACTTTCCCGTGTGTATGGGAGCAGTGTGGGCAGCATGCACGGTTGTGCCCCTCGCTGCAGCCCCCACTTGCAGGGGAAGTGTGGCCGGGGCAGCGGGGAGTTTGGAGTGGCAGGCAGCTTTCCGAGTCCCCCGCTGTGCCCTGCTGCACCAGGTTCCAATGCTGCTCTGCAGAAGCAGCAGCGAGGGCAGCACAGAGGGGTGCATCACCGGTATCTGCTGCCTCCTCAGAGCCTGGGCCCGGGTCTGGGAGGCAGTTGGGGCCAGGGCAGAGAGGCAGCAGATATTTGCAGCTAGCCCAGGTTCTGGGTAGCTGCTGATAGCCAGAGCCTGGGCTGGGGGGTAGGCGCTTTGGGTGGGGGGACAAGGGGTAGCAGGGCTGGTGGGTGAGAAGACAAGGGGTAGCAGGCTGGTGGGCAGGGGCTTTAGGTAGGGGGACAAGGGGCACAATCAGGGCATCCTGCCATGTACCCCTTGCCCTCATTTTGTTTTTCTGGCATGCTGGCACTCCAGCATCTTCCAAGATAAGCATTATGGGTTTTTTCAGCACGGGCCAAAAAACGTTCCCAACCCCTGGTCTAAACCAATAATTTACAACAGGGGTTTTCAAACTTTTTGGGTTAGTGTACCCATGGCAAGAGTCCCCCAAAGGCCAGTCCAGCAGCTGGGGGGGGCAAGGGGGCATCCCCCACAGTGGTGGATTGGGAGGGAGGAGCGGTTTCCTGTGGCTGACCAGTGACCATGCCAGCAGCATGGTGGCAGCAGAAGTGCCCCGCTGCCAAGTACCCCCCAAGGCCATCCTAAGTACCTCCAGTAATACACATACCCCTGGTTGAAAACCCCTGGTTTACAACCTTTCTAGACTCAAGGCACCCTTCCCTAACTTTTCTGAATTTAGCAGTACCCTACTCCAAAACTGCTTACAAAGTAATATGACTGGAAATACATTTTTTTAAACAAACAGGAAAAATGCATGTTTAACAATAGTATTATAATAAATGAGACACTTAAGCCTGGTGGCTCTTGTAAATATCTTGCATTTCTTAATCACAACAAATGACACAACTCAAATGAGTGGATTCTCAGTGCTGATAAGTGTGAAACGGATGCGAGAACTGTGAGCTTAACTAACAAGCTGTTGCTTACTTTTTGACTATCAGCCATTGTTTAGGGCAAAAATAGAAAAGGCACTGAAATAGATGCAAACAGAAAAGGCTTGAAGTGTTGATAATGCATCACCAGAACTACTATAACATTTTGGGAAAATAGTCAATACCAGCTGCCCTCCCTAATGTCTCGTTACGCAGGGGATCCTGGAGAACTGCAGCCTTTAGAGCTATAAGGTACGATCAAGGAACTTCCCAGCCAAGCTGAAGCACTTCGGGGGAAGCGCTCGCCCACCACTCCCCCGGGGCAGCAGCGCGGCCCAGCCGCGGGATCGGTTTGGCGCCGACGCGGCGAAGACAACACAATGGCTGCGGGCCGAGGCGGTTAAGCGAGACCGAGGTGCCCCGGGGGTGGCAGGGCAAAATGGCGTCACATCTCCGCTCCAGTGCGAGGGACCGGGATGGAGGCGCGGAGGGAGGGGCGGAGACACATCTGTGGACACCACAAAGCAGGGGTGAGTCCCACGCCCCTTCACCAGCGCTCGCCATCGCCCGGGCGGACCCGCCGTCTTTTTCAAACCCGCCCCGCCATCAACGGCCACCACACGGCCCCACCCCTTGGCCCCGGCAGCGTGCGCTCATTGGCCCGCCAGAGCACGCGCCGCGTCCAGGCGCGCCACTGGGCGGCGGGCGGAGGACAGGCGGTGGCGGTGCGCGGGTGCTGATTGGCCGAGCGGAAGGTTAGAACTTCTCGCGTGCGCTAGGCCCCCAGCCTACAGGGGGGAGGGGCGCTCTGTGAAGGCGCCGTTAACCCGGGGGGGGCGGAGGGGGGGCGTGCAGCGCAGCGCAGCGCAGCGCAGCGCAGCATCCGCCCGTTTTCCCGCGTAAACGCTCGGCCGCTGTGGGGAGGCTCCGCCAGTCGCGGCCGCCATCCCGGAACGGGAAGCGGAGGGGGAGTGCCCGCGCCCCATCCCCCGAGCCAGGCAGGCGCACACAGGGCGGTTACGGCCCTGGGGAGCGGCCTGCGCCCCGCATCCCCCCCCCTCG